ACTGATCCAAAGATACGAAATAATAACCATTTAATTATTTTTTTGAAAATTTTCTAATTCCGAAAACCATTCAAAGCTTTTAGTTGGATATAAATAAAGCCTAATTTTAATACCTCATTTTAATTTTGTTAACTAGCAAATCGTAAGCATGTGTCAGATTTTTTTCTTCACGCCATGTCAAAACCGGTAAGCACTCTTTTGAAGCTGAACAAGTTCCCACCACTGCACTGCAGTTCAGTTTATTTTTTTTATTATTTCAACTTCTTACTAAAATTCACAAAAACAAAAGCGTATCTGTCAACGTGTTTTGAATATAAAACTTAGTTTCAGATTATCTGATTGCCTTGTGATGATGATGTTAAAAAAATAGCAACAACAACAACAACAAAAAGAACAGAAACAAAAATATAGTCTTTACAATATTGTTATCATGGACTTGATTTACTCGAACTGAACGTTAATTATCAATATTATACGAAATGCATTGTTGAGTCAATATTCTTAAATAGAGAAGAATGAGGGTTGCCATTTCAGGAAAAAAATAAAAAAACACGCTTTTTGTCCCCGACAAATGTTTAAAAAAAAAATACACCCTTCTCAGAGGTCCCTTAATATGAAGCTATATCTAAATCTGAACCGATTTTCACTAAACTTAGCACACATCATTTCAGATTTAATTCAATGCGCCATGCCGAATTTCGTGCAAATCGAAGGATATAGAGAGCCTTTGGTGCACTATTTATCAAAAATTGGACGAAGATATATATGGGAGCTATATCTAAGTCTGGACCGATTTTCGAGAAATTTAACAAACAAATTTCTAGACTTAATTTAGTACGCTATGCCGAATTTCGTGCAAATCGAAGGATAAATAGGGACTTTAGTGCGCTATTTACCTAAAATCGTACGAAATATATATGGGAAATCTGAACCGATTTTCAGGAAACTTAACACACATCATTCTAGACATAATTCAGTACGCTATGCAAAATTTCGTGCAAATTGAAAGATACATAGGGACTTTGGTTCACAATTTACCTGAAATCGGACGAAATTATATATGGGAGCTATATCTAAATCCGAACCGATTTTCATGAAATTTAACACACATCATTCTAGGCTTAATTCATTACGCTGTCCCAAATTTCGTACGAATCGAAATATATATAAGGACTTTGGTGCCCCATTTACCTTAAATCGGACGAAAATATATATGAGAGTTATACAGAAATCTGAACCGATTTTATCGAAACTTAATACACATTATTCTTGACCTTATTCAATACGCTATGCCAAATTTCGTGCAAATCGAAAGATATATAGGGACTTTGGTGCCCCATTTACCTTAAATCGGACGAAAATACATATGGGAGCTATATCGAAATCTGAACCGATTTTCTCGAAACTTAATACACATTATTCTTGGCCTTATTCAATACGCTATGCCAAATTTCGTGCAAATCGGAAGATGTAAAGGGACTTTGGTACACCATTTACCGATAATCGGACGAAAATATATATGGGAGCTATATCTAAATCTGAACCGATCTGCACAAAACTTAGCACACTTTGTTCTAGGCTTAATTCATTACGCTGTGCCAAATTTCGTGCAAATCGAAAGATATATAGGGACTTTCGTACACCATTTACATTAAATCGGACGAAAATATAAATGTGAGCTATATCTAAATCTGGACCAATTTTCAGGAAACTCAAAACACACCATTCTAGACCTAATTCATTACGCTATGCCGAATTTCGTGCAAATCGAAGGATATATAGGGACTTTAGTGCGCTATTTACCTAAAATCGGACGAAAATATATATTGGAGCTATATCTAAATCTGAACCGATTTCCACGAAATTTAACACACATCGTTCTAGACTTATTTCAGTACGCTATGCAAAATTTCGTGCAAATCGAGGTAAATATAGGGACTTTGGTGCACTATTTACCTAAAATCGGACGAAAATATATATGGGAGCTATATCTAAAGCTGATCCAATTTTTCCCAATTTCAATAGGGTTCGTCCTTGGGCCAAATAAATGAGCTGTGTCAAATTTCATAAAATTCGAATCGAAAATGCGACGTGTACTTTGTTTACAATTTAACATGGACAGACGGACGGACGGACATGCATAAATCGACTCAGAAAGTGATTCTATGCATATTCTCAAAAGGAACTATGTCTCTATCTCGTTTCCTTTTGCCTGTTACAAACATATGCACAAAGACATAATACCCTGTACCACAGTGTGGTGCAGGGTATTAAAATCAACGCCTTGTTTAGGTTCTCAAAAAAATATTTCTAAACCAGTAAGGAAAGTAGTAAAGTCGGACGGGGCCGACTCTAGGATACCCTTCACCACTATGGGTACATTAAACAGGACTATTAACATGAAATTGGATGAAATAAAATATGTGATATTTATCTAAATGTTAATCTACGTAGATCTATCCATAAAGTATGTAAATCGACTTCAAATAAATATAAATGGGTCATCCGTTGGGCTATGTCTGTACTTCTAGAAAACGCAACTACATAATTCTATGCTCTATTTTGTACGTTGTGCAAAATTTGATGTCAAACTGACTAACATGAGGAGTTTGATGCCCAATTTACTTGAAATCGGGCGAAAATATATATGGAAGCTCTATTCAAATATTAAGCGATTTCAAACAAACTTGTGACAGAATGTTAGACTAATTTCAGAACGTTTTGTTCCTATTGGTTCTTGGTGCGTCAATTACTTAAAATCAATCTATAATAAAAAGGAGCTATATCTAAATCTGGACCGATTTTCACGAAACAACGAAGACATCACTCTAGGCTCAATTCAGTACGTTATGCCAAATTTCGTGCAAATCGAAAGATATATAGCGACTTTGGTGAACCATTTACATGAAATCGGACGAAACTATATGTGGGAGCTATATAGAAATATGGACCGATTTTATCGAAACTTGGCAGACATCACTCTAGGCTCAATTCAGTACGTTGTGCAAAATTTCGGGCAAATCGAAAGATATATATGGATGTTGGTGCACAATTTACATGAAATCGGACGAAACTATATATGGGAGCTATATCTAAATCTGGACTGATTTTCACGAAACTGGGCAGACATAACTCTAGGCTCAATTCAGTACGTTATGCCAAATTTCGTGCAAATCGAAAGATATATATGGATTTTGGTCACAATTTACATGAAATCGGACGAAACTATATATGGTAGCTATATCTAAATCTTGACCGATTTTCACGGAGCTTGGCAGACATCATTCTAGACCTAAATGATTAGGCTGTACCAAATTTCGTGCTAATCGAAAGATATATAGGGACTTTGGGGCCCCATTTACATTAAATCGGACGAAACTATATATGTGAGCTATATCTAAATCGGGACCGATTTTCATGAAACTTGGCAGACATCATTCTAGGCCCGATTAAGTACGTTATGCCAAATTTCGTGCAAATCGAAGGATATATAGGGACTTTGGGGCACCATTTACATGAAATCGGACGAAACTATATATGGGAGCTATATCTAAATCTGGACCGATTTTCTTGAAACTGGGCAGACACCATTCTAGACTCAATTCAGTACTTTATGCCAAATTTCGTGCAAATCGAAAGATATATAGAGACTTTGGGGCACCATTTACATGAAATCGGACGAAACTATATATGGGAGCTATATCTAAATCTGGACCGATTTTCACGAAACTTGGCAGACATCACTCTAGGCTTAATTCAGTACGTTATGCCAAATTTCGTGCAAATCAAAAGATATATAGGGACTTTGGGGCACCATTTACATGAAATCGGACGAAACTATATATAGGAGCTATATCTAAATCTGGACCGATTTTCACGAAACTTGGCAGACATCATTCTAGACCTAAATGATTAGGCTGTACTAAATTTCGTGCAAATCGAAAGTTATATAGGGACTGTTTACATTAAATCGGTTAAATATATATATGGGAGCTATATCTAAATCTGAACAGATTTTTCCCAATTTCAATAGGGTTCGTCCTTGGGCCAAATAAGTGACCTATGCCAAATTTCATCCAATTCGGATCATAAATGCGACCTGTACTTTGTTTACAATTTAACATGGACAGACGGACGGACGGACGGACAGACGGACATGCGTAAATCGACTCAGAAAGTGATTCTATGCATATTCTCAAAAGGAACCATGGGTCTATCTCGATTATTTTTGCCTGTTACAAACATATGCACAAAGACATAATACCCTGTACCACAGTGTGGTGAAGGGTATAAAAATCCACGCCCATCAGCACTCGAATAATAAAATTTTGTTTAAATCCAGCCCCCTTGGACCCCTACTTGGCCACCCTATTTTTTTGCTGCGTTATTTTCTTCAACTTCTCAATAAAACTGCAAAAAAATGTAGTTCCCTTTTTTTCGAGCTGAGAATATAAGATTGCGTTTAGGTGGTTGTTATTTTTGTTGTTATATTTATATTTGTTTGTTTGTTGTTGTTGTCTTATTCGAAGTGGCGTTTCACATCCAAGCTCGCCCAGCAGCAGCAGCACCAGCAACAGAAAATCTCGCTGTCATATGTAAACATTGACCAGCCAGTTAACCGTCGAAATATAAAATTCAGTTGAAGCTCGACTTTCAAGAGCATCACAACGAGCGGCACCAACGGCTTGATTATCGTAATTACGTTCAATGGCGGTTCAAAATATAAAAAATTAATATTCGATTTTGAAAAAAAAAAAATAATATCATTACGTTCGAGAGGGAGAGATAGTAATTTTGATAATTACCATCAAGCCGGTTGCAATTAAAAAAATAAAAAAAAAATCCATAAATATTAATCGTTAAAAAATTAAGTGAAGAAGACGTGCTTAAGAATATTTGAAAACAAGTTATTAAAAATAAAAAAAAAAATAATTAAATAATATTGAAAAGTGATAAAAGTCAAAATTAGATAAAGTGCTAAGTTCTGTCCATTAATTATCATGGGATTTAAAATATTTAATATTTTATTGCTGTTATCAATATCGTGGCAGCCACCACATGGAGAGGCTGTGGAAATACCCGATGATGGGAAATGTAAGTTGGGATTTTTTTTAAATATTTGTTTTTCTGATAAAAAAATTGAAAATAGTCAACAGCAACATTGTTTGTAAAGCAGTTACATCGATTTAAAAAAAAATATTTTTGAAATAAAATATTAAAAACAAAATCAATAATTAAATTAAAATCCGTAAGGAAAGTAGTAAAGTCGTACGGGGCCGACTATATGATAGCCTTCAGCACTTTGGGTATATTCGTCGCATTTTTAAAGGACCAGTAAAATGAAATTGGATCCATAAACAAGTCATTCAGCAACCGATACTCAATTTTTAATTTTGTAAGATATAGAAGCTATATCGAAATCTGAACCGATTTTCACGAAACTCAGCACCCATCATTCCAGACTCAATTCAGTACGCTATAGCAAATTTCGTGCAAATCGAATGATATATGGGGACTTTGGTGCACCTTTTACATAAAATCGGACGAAAATATATATCGGAGCTATATCGAAATCTGAACCGATTTTCACGAAATTTAACACACATCGTTCATGACTTAATTCAGTAGGCTATGTCAAAGTTCGTGTAATTCGAAAGAGATATAGGAACTTTGGTGCATAATTTACCTAAAATCGGGCGAATATATATATGGGAGCTATATCTAAATCTCAACCGATTTTCACGAAACTCAGCACACATCATTCCAGACTCAATTCAGTACGCCATAGCAAATTTCGTGCAAATCGAAGGATATATAGGGACATTGTTGCACCATTTACATAAAATCGGACGAAAATATATATGGGAGCTATATCTAAATCTGAACCTATTTTCACGAAATTTAACACACATCGTTCCAGACATAATTCAGTACGCTATCCCAAATTTCGTGCAAATCGAAGGATATATAGGGACATTGATGCACTATTTACCTAAAATCGGACGAAAATATATATGGGAGCTATATCTAAATCTGAACCGATTTTCACGAAATTTTACACACATCGTTCTAGACTTAATTCCGTACGCTATGCCAAATTTCGTGCAAATCTAACGATATATAGGGACTTTGGTGCAATATTTACCTAAAATCGGACGAAAATATGTATGGGAGCTATATCTAAACCTGAACCGATTTTCAGGAAATTTAACACACATCATTCTGGACCTAATTCAGTACGTTATGCCAAATTTCGTGCAAATCGAAAGATATATTGGGACTTTGGGGCACCATTTACATGAAATCGGACGAAACTATATATGGGAGCTATATAGAAATCTGGACCGATTTTCTCGAAACTTGGCAGACATCACTCTAGGCTTAATTCAGTACGATATGTCAAATTTCGTGCAAATCGAAAGACATATGGGGACTTTGGGGCACCATTTACATGAAATCGGACAAAACTATATATGGAAGCTATATCTTAATCTGGACCGATTTTCACGAAACTTGGCAGACATCATTCTAGACCTAAACGATTAGGCTGTACCAAATTTCGTGCAAATCGAAAGATATATAGGGACCGTTTACATTAAATCGGTTAAATATATATATGGGAGCTATATCTAGATCTGAACCGATTTTTCCCAATTTCAATAGGGTTCGTCCTTGGGCCGAATAAGTGACCTATGCCAAATTTCATCCAATTCGGATCATAAATGCGACCTGTACTTTGTTTACAATTTAACATGCACAGACAGACGGACGGACATGCATAAATCGACTTAGAAAGTGATTCTATGCATATTCTCAAAAGGAACCATGTGTCTATCTCGTTTCCTTTTGCCTGTTACAAACATATGCACAAAGACATAATACCCTGTACCACAGTGTGGTGAAGGGTATAAAAACACGGTTTCTAAAACGTTGTGGATCTTTTAAAGAATATTTTCCATGCAACCACACACAGTGAGAATTTTTTAAAGTATTTTTCAGGAAAAAATTATATTAAATTTATAAATAAATGATGACAAATCATTCAAAATTAATTAGTTAGAAATAGATTTTTACTGTCACATTATCTTGTGACCCGTTTTATAGATTTTTGTTAGTTTCAGACATCATCTTCAAGCCGGTTTAGAATCTGCAAAAAGTTTTGGCATATTTGCATTTCAAAATTGATTGAATTATATAGACTAAGTGGGTATAAAATTTAAATTTTTATTTTGAATATTTCTAAATTTGCAAATTTTAATTTAGCAGGAACCACATTCCACTCAATTTGTTTATTGGTTGAATGTTAATGAACTTAATTAAAAAAATCGAACAAACCCCATTTATAAAAAAACCATGGCATTAGATTTTCCCCTTGTCTGCAAATAAAAAAAAACCAGTAAAGAAAGTTCAAAAGTCGGACGGGCCGACTATATGATACCCTTCACCACTTTGGGTACATACAAGAGAGGTTAATATCTACAATATCCTGTAGATAGAACAGACATAGAGTATTTGGAGGACCATTGAGATGGAATAGGGCGCAATTAAATGTGCTATCTACATAGATATTTGAACCAATTTAATAAAAACGCCATACACATACCATTCTGAAATCAATGAAAAATTGCATGTCAAACGGGCAGACTTGGATTCTTTGGTGTACCATTTGTATGAAATCGAGTAAAATTAAGTATGGGGACCATATATATAAACACATGGACCTAAATGAGCATCCGTTGAATACTCGATTTGTTTTTAGTTATCACTCTATATTCACTTTAATACCCTCTGCTAAATTTTGTGTAAATCGACCAAACGTAGGACCTTCGGTGCACCATTTACATAAAATCGAACGAAAATATATCTAAGAATTATATCAAAATCTGAAGCGATTTAAACAAACCTTATGACACATAATTTTTTCCTCAATTGCATTCGCTATGTAAAATTTTGCTCAATCGGTCAAATGTTGCAAAATTTTGTGTGGTGAAGGGTATAAAAATCCACGCCATAAAAATATGTTTTTAAGCCACTCCCTTATATAAAGCCCAAAAACTATATTTTTTAAATCCACGCCCTATTTAGACCATTAAGAATATTTGTTTTAATCCACGACCTATTTATACCCATAAAAATATTTTTTGAAATCCACGCCTTATATAGGCCACTGAAATACATTTTTAACAAATCCACGCCAGAGATGGTCCGTCAGAAACAGTGACGTAAATTACATACATTTCCGACGTATAATACATACGTCAGAAACGTCGGAAACCTAACCAAAACCATTAGGTTTTTGACAAAATAGCTATTTCCCTTAATCAATTTGGAAATTACGTATGCTTTACTTCAATCCGTATAAAATTTCAATATTTTCTTTTCCAAAATGTTAAGAATTTTTATACCCTTCACCACACTGTGGTACAGGGTATTATGTCTTTGTGCATATGTTTGTAACAGGCAAAAGGAAACGAGATAGACACATGGTTCCTTTTGAGAATATGCATAGAATCACTTTCGAAATCGATTTACGCATGTCCGTCTGTCCGTCCGTCTGTCCGTCCGTCCATGTATTTTTGTGAACAAAGTACAGGTCGCATTTATGATCCGATTTGGATGAAATTTGGCATATGTCACTTATTTGGCCCAGGGACGAACCCTATTGAAATTGGGAAAAATCGGTACAGATTTAGATATAGCTCCCATATATATATTCGTCCGATTTAATGTAAAAAGTCCCTATATATCTTCCGAATTGCACGAAATTTGGCACATCGTAAAGAATTAGGCCTAGAATGATGTGTGCTGAGTTTCATTAAAATCGGTTCAGATTTAGATATAGCTCCCATATATAGTTTCGTCCGATTTCATGTAAATGGTGCCCCAAAGCCCCTATATATCTTTCGATTTGCACGAAATTTTGCATAACGTATTGAATTAAGACTAGAGTGATGTCTGCCAAGTTTCGAGAAAATCGGTCCAGATTTAGATATAGCTCACATATGTAGTTTCGTCCGATTTCATGTAAATGGTGCACCAAAGTCCCTATATATCCTTCGATTTGCACTAAATTTGGCATAACGTATTGAATTGAGCCTAGAATGATGTCTGCCAAGTTTCGAGAAAATCGGTCCAGATTTAGATATAGCTCCCATATATAGTTTCGTCCGATTTCATATAAATGGTGCACCAAAGTCGCTATATATCTTTCGATTTGCACGATATTTGGCATAACGTACTGAATTGAGCATAGAGTGATGTCTGTCTGCCTTGTTTCGTGAAAATCGGTCCAGATTTAGATATAGCTCCCTTTTATTATAGATTGATTTTAAGTAATTGACGCACCAAGGAACCAATAGGCTGATCGGAACAAAACGTTCTGAAATTACTGTAACCTAACCTGTGACATGTTTGTTTGAAATCGCTTAATATTTGGATAGAGCATCCATATATATTTTCGTCCGATTTCAAGTAAATTGGGCATCAAACTCCTCAGTTAGTCAGATTGACATCAAATTTTGCACAACTTACACAATTGAGCATAGAATTACGAAGTTGCGTTTTCTAGAAGTACAGACATAGCCCAACGGATGACCTATTTATATTTGTTTGAAGTCGATTTACATATTTTATGGATAGATCTAGGTAGATTCACATTTAGATAAATATCACATATTTTATTTCATCCAATTTCATGTTAATTGTTCTGTTTAATATACACATAGTGGTGAAGGGTATCATATAGTCGGCCCCGTCCGACTTTACTACTTTCCTTACTGGTTTAAAATGTGTCCTTTTTTTGGAGGGCCCCGAAAATATATTGTTTAAAAAATTCACGCCTTATGGTAGTTCTTGGAAAAAATATTCTTCCACCTATCTGCAGGATAGGCCTGACGACAAATATATAAAAATCATCGCACTATGGCCAACGAAAAAAGTCTATAAAAATAGGAACCTTGAAAAATATTTTTTAAAAATCTGCAAAAACATAATTTTGGAATCCTCGATTTTGGTAGATTCCTGGAAAAAACTATTCTTTAAAATGTCCACGTCTTATAAAACCCTAGACAATTTTAAAAACTCTCAATTTTTGTAGGTTCTTCGAAAAATATTTTTTTTAATTTTTGCTTTAGTCCCGAGAACAAAAATACTTAAAAAAAAAAATCCACAAAAAATGCTATTCAGTCATAATTTTTTAATTATTTAATTTTTTTTTCAAATACGGCCTTCAATCACTCAAATCACTTGCCTGTGTTTTATCTTAATAATAATCTTGTCACTTTAGTTTGCTAATAATAGATAAACATCAAAATGGAATAACATCATCATCATCTCTATGTAAATTGAATTTTTAATTAACCACCTAACAATAAAATATAAAAAAAATAACAACAAAAAGTAATTTCCGAACCTATTGGTTATTCCGCTACCTATAAATAATGCACAAAATCCCCCTCGTCCGACGTCACAAAAATAATAGTTCAGTGACGTCGCAGTGACTCACATCTGTCTACGTTTACTTCGGCAATAAACTAAAGAAGATCCCCCCTATTCAAAGCCACTCCCCCTCTCTTGCTTAACTAAAAAGCTCTCCAAAAACGTGTTGACGTATTCTTCAAGGCCAATTCGCATAATTTTTGTTTTCGGATGTAGTTATACTTGTCTTACAAGTCATAGCTTGGCCAAAATATAAAAAAAAAACACAACAAATCTTGTTTTTGAAACTCCCCTCCTCGACATGCGATGTTGATGAAGCTGATGTGGAATCGCAACAGATTCATTAATCTTTAGAGGGTTTCTAGGTTGTAATTTCATTGTTGCCCCTCAGTCAGCAAGAAGGTCTCCTAATGAAGCATACTACAACAAATATAAATAATAATAACAACAATAACAAAAACATTGTATACAAGTATTTGTTTAACACATCATTGTTGTCGATATTAATTGCAATGAAGCGTTTGAAAAAAAAAAATACAAAACAATTTTGATATCCATATGTGAATATGCTTGTCAATTAACGGGATTCGGAATCAAGACATTTTAAAATGTCCTCGAAAAAATTCTCATTGGACTCCGGTTTCTAAAACTGGTTCCATTTGTGGTCATGGCAAGCAACATCCTTGACGAAAGCCTCAATAAATGTTGTGGTTTTTAGGCTGGAATGACTTCGTCAATGATTTGCGGCTGGATATTGGCCTTGAACTGCAGAAGCATCGAATTGAATATAGAGGGATTTTTCATATTTTATTACAAGTTCACAGTGGCTGCTAGGCCAGCTTAAACATCTGCTAAGGATCTTTAATATATTTTATATTATTAGGCATCCATATAAGGCTTGGATTTATTAAAGAATATTTTTAGGCATCTCCGAAAGGCGTGGATTTATTAAAGAATATTTTTAGGCATCTATGAAAGGTGGGGATTTTTTAAAGACTATTTTTAGGCATCTATAAAACGCGTGGATTTTTTAAAGACTATTTTTAGGCATCTATAAAAGGCGTGGATTTTTTAAAGACTATTTTTGGGCATCTATAAAAGGCGTGGATTTTTTAATAGAATATTTTTAGGCATCTATAAAAGGCGTGGATTTTTTTAAAGACTATTTTAGGCATCTATAAAAGGCGTGGATTTTTTAAAGACTATTTTAGGCATCTATAAAAGGCGTGGATTTTTTAAAGACTATTTTTAGGCATCTCCGGAAAGCGTGGATTTATTAAAGAATATTTTTAGGCATCTCCGGAAGGCGTGGATTTATTAAAGAATATTTTTAGGCATCTCCGGAAGGCGTGGATTTATTAAAGAATATTTTTAAAGGGCCAACTGAGGCGTGGATTTATTAAAGAATATTTTTAAAGGGCCAACGGAGGCGTGGATTTATTAAAGAATATTTTTTAGGGCCAACTGAGGCGTGGATTTATTAAGGCGTGGATTTATTAAAGAATATTTTTTAGGGCCAACTGAGGCGTGGATTTATTAAAGAATATTTTTAAAGGGCCAACGGAGGCGTGGATTTATTAAAGAATATTTTTAAAGGGCCAACTGAGGCGTGGATTTATTAAAGAATATTTTTAAAGGGCCAACTGAGGCGTGGATTTATTAAAGAATATTTTTAGGGCCAACTGAGGCGTGGATTTATTAAAGAATATTTTTCAAGGGCCAACTGAGGCGTGGATTTATTAGGGCCAACTGAGGCGTGGATTTATTAAAGAATATTTTTCAAGGGCCAACTGAGGCGTGGATTTATTAAAGAATATTTTTTAGGGCCAACTGAGGCGTGGATTTATTAAAGAATATTTTTAAAGGGCCAACTGAGGCGTGGATTTATTAAAGAATATTTTTTAGGGCCAACTGAGGCGTGGATTTATTAAAGAATATTTTTTAGGGCCAACTGAGGCGTGGATTTATTAAAGAATATTTTTCAAGGGCCAACTGAGGCGTGGATTTATTAAAGAATATTTTAAAGGGCCAACTGAGGCGTGGATTTATTAAAGAATATTTTTCAGGGACCTTTTCTACAAAACAAACTTTTCTTAATTTTTTTATTTTTCTGCGACTGTTCAAGATTTTGTGGGGGAGTCCGACTCCACGTGCTGAATAATTCAATGACCCAGTATTTAACAAAACAATTGCAACAATGATTAATAATCCGCATTAATTTAAATAAATTGTTAAGCGGTAAGCTGAAAAGATTGTTTAAAACGTTCCGTAACCGCAACCATAAATAATTGAACAGATGTTTCGATTTGACTTCGAGATAAACGTATACAATGATTTTTGAGTTCAGAACCCGAAAATAATTATTTTTTCTATAGGTTCATCTGGTCTCTGAGAACTCTTTTTCCTATAGAAAAAAATCGTCAGGTACATGAGGACTCTTTTTTTCTATAGAAAAAAAAAATCGACCGATCCCTGAAGACTCTTTTTTCTATAGAAAAATCGTTAGGTCCCTGAAGTCTCTTTTTTCTTCAAGTCTATAAGGACTCTTTTTTCTATAGAAAAAATCATCAGGAACCTGAGGACTCTTTTTTCTATAGAAAAAATTCATCAGGTCACTGAGGACAATTTTTTCTATAGAAAAAATCGTCAGTTCCTCAAAGGAGACTTTTTATAGAAAAAATCCTCAGTTCCCTGAGGACAATTTTTTATAAATTAGAAAAAAATCGTCAGGTCCCCTGAGGACTACCTTTTTCTATAGAAAAAAATCCGTCAGTTGCCTAAGGTCTTCAGACTCACTGAGGCATATTTGTCTAAAAAAATTCTGCATGACCAGAAGGATTATTTTCCTAATTTTATTTTCTTTCTTTTCCAGTACGCGTCTGTGTGGTTGAGTCCCGTGGTGCCTATCGCAAAACTCCCAAATTCTGTCCCATTCTGGAGGCCCAAACAAATATGGAGTGTGTGGTGGGAGTTGATCGTTTAGATTGTGTTCGAAAAATCCACAAAGGCACGGCACATTTTGGTGTGTTAACCTCGGAAGATTTAGTGGCAGCCCGATGGGCCAGTGTAGAGATTTTAGTCACGAGTGAGCTGAGATCGCATAGTTCGCACTTCGAATATGAAGTTGTGGCGGTGGTCGATAATGAAGCGGAAATTCACACGGTACATGATTTGCGAGGCGCCAAATTGTGTCATCCTGGTTATGGCCTGGGCAGTCATTGGACTGAGGTGTTGGCTAATGTGAGTGTGTTCGGGATTTAAAAATCGGAAATGGAATTAATGAGGGACTATATTTTTTTATTTCAGTATTTTGAATCCGCCATGGTCACAAAATCCTGTGACCCCGACATCTCAATTACCGAGGATCGTATTCGCTCTTCTGCCCATTTCTTTGGCCCCAGCTGCAAGGCTGGTCCATGGGTCCCCGATCCCAAACAAGATCGCCAATTGAAGAACAGATACCCCTCCCTGTGTCAAATGTGCTACGACTCTTATAGATGTGATGTTGGGGATAAACATTGGGGTAGGCGGGGTGCTCTGTATTGCCTCACCAGTGGTGGGGGTAATGTGGCCTGGGCCAGGCTCGATGATGTGCGCAGTCATTTTGGGGTAAGTTGTGGATTTTCTTTTAGAAGAGAAAATATTTTTAATACGGTCTTCCCTTGCAGCTCACAGGTCTCCCTAAGCAAGCAGAACCCTCGGAGTACAGCTACTTGTGTCCTGAGGGTCATTTACAGCCCATCAATTCCACCAAACCCTGCGTTTGGGTTGCCAAACCCTGGCCGGTTATTGCCGCCCGCCGCACTCATGCCGCCCAGATACAAAATATCGTAACCGGCCTGAACCATGACTCACCGAATAGCTGGCAGAATGCCCTCCTTAGCCTGCTGGAAAATTTCCATGTCGATATCGTGCCGTTGGATAATGTC